TAAGTTGAATAAATGGGGTTTGCCATTAATTAGTCAAAATTAATTTAACTGAAAACCATATTGTCAAAATCTCAAAAACCTTAATTATTCATTAGAACCCAGCTGTGACAAAAACATTTCATTTTAATGTTATTTACATAATCACATTTAAATTGAAAACTATACAATGACAAAGTAAACATTTTCAATTCAAAAACCCTGTTTTTACTCCTAAATTATTGACTAAATGATCCCTGCTTGTTATTACCATGCGTTTCCAATCTGTTCAAGTTATGCAGCCATCATACTAGTGGATAGTGCTGCTACACAGTGATGCTTCAGGAACTTTTTTAGTGGATGCTAATTTAGGCTTGAACAGCTTCTCTGATAAGTTAACTCATCTTAGCACAGCTTCAACACAACAGCAGCGTTTTCCATTGTCCCTTCAAAATGTTTTTGAAGTTAAATTTAATTTAATTTTGTTGTCCATTGATTTATTTGCAGATGTCGCTTGTACATCAGATTTGCAGGTGTACCAGAAACATGTCATAAAGATTCCGGTTCAAAAATTTTGTATGTAAAAAAAACCCCAAAATGATTAATTGCATTAACATTTTTAACACATTAAATCTGTGTAATTAAGTAACTGATTGAAACTGACCCACCCTAGTATGTATATGATAAGGTTGTGTAAATGTGACTGAATTGTGAGTCTGGAAGCTCTAATGACCAAACCAAGACCAAATTCATGTTTGTGTCTGTTTTGGTTTCATCCTGGATATATTGCCATGTATCTGTTTATTACAGCTAATGCGAGTACAAAAATACAAACAATCCCATGCGTTTCATTCGTGCACTTTACTCCACGAAATGCTGCATCACACATTTAAAATGCTTTCATTTAGCAATCAGAGCTGCACTTCCACACACCCTCCAAGGTTGATGGGTCTAAAAGTGGACTGTGCTGATAATTGCTTCAATTTTACCGCTCTCAGCTACGGGCGTGAGGAAATGCAACCGTTCATTTGGTGGTATTGAGCTGAGGAGCCACTTTGCAGATCCCAGGCAGCAAAAGCTTTCAGAAAAAGCAGGTACATGAGGAAGCGAGTGAGAACAGAGTGTGTAGGATTGCAATGTAATGCGAACGAGAAATAAAAACATGCTCCGAGTTGAAAGATATGCTTCCGTGAGTTTGTGTGAGTCATTATGCTCCCTTTTTTTTTCTCAGCCTTCTGCAAGTTACATTTTTTATTGAAGTAGGAGTGATATTTCTCTTTTCTGCTAATGCTTTAGTTTTAATTCAAACGCCTTGAAATTTTTATTGAATATTTGCATTTGCCAGTGTTTATATGACGCTGATAACGATGGATGTGCTTTGCAGTAAATGAAACAAGCGAAAGCTCTAAAGCAAACCGATGAAGAGTGGTGGGGAGTACATTATGCATTATCTTGATGTATTATTAACTCCATCAGAGTTTGCGATTTAAAATTCACATTTAAGGACTCAAAAGTTTAAGCCTTAATGAGGTTTATTTTGCAGAAATAAATGTTCTTTTTCACTCTAGTAGAGGACGCTCTTGGCTTCTGCAGCCTTATTGGAGATTTGCTCTTTGTGAAGACAGAAAAATCTTGAACGTGGTTTATGCCTTTTTACTGGATTTGGAAATTAGTAATGAAAATCTGCTAAATGTGACAGAGCAACACAAAATTGGAGAAAGAGATGCGTAGGTTAAAAAACTTTTTTATAAATGACTAACTGAAGATGTGTGTATCCATGGATATTCAGCTCATTTTAACCAGACTCCCTCAAATAAAACTCTACATTACACTGGAGAAACCATGCTGGTGCAGCATTATGCTACAGGGGAGCTTTTCTTTAGCAAGTCACAGTGGATAGGCAGATTGTGGGAGTATAAATACATGAAGCTGCAACACACTTGTCCCTTTCTAACAAGAGAACGGCTCAAAACATCCAACCAGAGCTGCAATTTAACAGTTTAGTGTTTTCTGGTGTAGGAATGGCCCAGTCAAAGTTCAGATCTAAATTAAAATCTCTGGCAAAGCTTGAAATTGTGACTGAGCTTTATGTATTTTGCAAAAGGCTTGGAGATTTTCACCAGTCAGTAAAGGTTTTTATTTTTCTGAAAAAATTCATTTTCCTCCCACATTGTCGTTGTGCCTCCATTGTCCATTTGGTCTGGCATAAAGTCCTAATAAAACACAGCGTTTGCAATAGAAACAAAGACAAAGCAAAAAAAAAAAAAAAAAAAAAAAAAAGGTTTTATGGGAATTACTTTCTCCTGAGCGGTTTGTTACCTTCTCATCTGTTTATTTGTCCAGAGACCAACCCAATGTGGTCTGCACTCTGCAGGGATTTAGACAAATGTCCTTTCCCAGAATCAGAACAGAATTAGAAAAAACCCCCAGCAATTTTATATGAACCCCTTTGTTTCTTCTTTTCTTTTCTTCTTCTTCTTGAATAATACAACAAGCACTGAAACTATTAGAAGCTGAGGCTCAGAGAACTCCCAGTCGCTCAGAGCGTGGTGTTGATTCTGCGGCTCTGGTTGAGCACGCGGCTCGGCAGCTCACTTGCTTCTGCTGAATATCAGTTCCACTGGTTTTGTGTTGAGTTCAATTTGGGTTTGAACAGATAAACACGGAATAAACGAAGAAATAAAAACGTTTTGCGGCTAAAAGTGGATTTGTTCCTGAATTAGTTTGGCCAGCAACCACTGGAGGGCGCTGTTTGAAAACAAATGCTTCGTAGAGCAGAGAGAGCAGATTTCAGCTGAGCCCCGTTTGGACGATTTTCTGTTGTTCACTTTTAGTACTTCCTGCTTTGCTTCCCCAACAATTCGGTTTAAAACATTAAAACTATTCTCTAAAGCTGTGTTGCTTTATTTCAGGGAAATCTGCTTTGCTTCATCTAAGGTGGAACTAATATCAGAGGCACACTTTTTAATGGGTGTCCCAAATAACACTTATAAAAATAATTAACAGATTTAAATAGAAATGATCACACTAAATTATTTTATTAACCAACTGATTAAAACTTCGAACTGAAGCCTGGGGGGGAATAATGAGCTGCATTAGTGAGCTCTTTTAATTGGATTATGCTAAAATACACGAGCACCTTAAAGTTGTTTGAAGAAGTTTGAAACCTAAAGTCGAACGACTTTCAGTGCTCTGAAAATAAAGAAGATCCTGGAGCCTGTCGCCAGCTGTCATCAGTACCCTGACTACCTGAAGAAGTTCTCAAAAATGCAAATTGAATGTGAGTTGAGCCGATTTAATTCTGTCTGACATCAGGTTTGAGGTTCTTATGGTGTAGGCTCAGAACTGGCTCAAGCCTTAACCAACCTATGGTGCTGCTTAGGGCCCCTAAACCTTCAATTTCAGACAAAAGTTCAACATTTGCTTATTGAGAGTGAGAATATTGCTAAGTTTGATTTAATTGTTTCAACACAGATAGATTAGAAGATTCACAACTGTAACTTTTAAACATAAGACTTAATTGGCGAGTTTACTTGTGAAAATGCAAAGAATCATTTTAATGTAATTTTAATGTGTTGCCATAGCTGCAATCTGATGCTATGAGTTTAATATTTTTGTTTGTTCACAAATATGTCTCTGCAAACAATAACCAGTTTTCACTGACTGCTTCTTAAGCTCAGCCAATTAAACTCTGTCCCCTCTCCTGGATTCCACCAAATCTGTATTGAAATGGCCTCGCCGCCTTGGAATGGCCCTGAATTGACTAAAAATATCACTGGTAATTCATGCATAACCAAAAATATAGAAGAAACACTAGCAAAGTAGTTTCTTTAATGGAAGTGTTGGGTTTGAACATAGGCCCGTTTTAAACATTCTGTTCAGAACAGAACAGAGCTGGCCATACAGCAAGATAATGTTATGTTAGTGAGGCTATCAGCGAGTCAGCTTGGCAGGATCCATACAATGACCAGCTATCTCTTTGTGACATAATGCCATTTTATAGCACAGTCAAGTAACTATGTCACCTTCAGTAATGAAAATGCTGTGTATACCAAACATGACTTAAATGAAACTTAAGTTCAAAATTTGATGCCATAAATTTGGAGCTCTGTCTCTTTAAGAAGCTTCTTCTCTTCCTGCTTTCAGCACTTCATCAGCCATTCTTAGGAGGGTTAAGCTGAGGAGTAGTTTGAATGATGAATAGCAGTTTCACCAGGTGTTTGCTAATTGCTGCTGCAGCTAGCATGGTGGAGCTGAATGTCAATCTTATACTTCCCCTCCACCTTTAAAAGATGACAGAAACGTCTTCCGAGTTGTAAAACGAGAACTTTATAATATCTTGTTACATTTGGATACTTCCTAAGTGCTCCATATTTAGAAACAGTTTCTAAAAATAGCCCTCCAGCATTCAAAGCTGGCCTAGCATAAAGCTGAGCTAGGCTAGCTTTGGCCAAATTACGCAAAGCTAATTAGGCCAAAGCTAGCCTACAGTTAGCCAGCTAGCCTACAGTTAGCCAGCTAGCCTACAGTTAGCCAGCTAGCCTACAGTTAGCCAGCTAGCCTACAGTTAGCCAGCTAGCCTACAGCTAGCCAGCTAGCCTACAGCTAGTCGCCCCCACCGGAGCCTGGAGTGAATCTCAGGCTAGTTACCATGGCTAGTGGACAGATAAACAGCTTTTTTTCCTGTAATGGTAAATCGTCTGTCCGCCATTAGAAAATGAAACAATTTAAACCAGGAGGACGGAGGAGCTAAATTTGTTCGCAGACTATGTTTCATATTATATTGTCACGACATAAGAACAGTTCTAATAAACATAAAAGTTACATAGTCCAGATTTAAACCACAAATCCAGAAAATAGTTTGAGTATAGTGGTAACTCATGACGTCTACAAAGAGTTTTTTTTTCTTTTTTTTGTTTTACTATTTATTAATTTATTATATATTGGGAACTCCCTACTTTCAGGGGAATCCAGTCTTCTGATGCGCTGCGTTCAGTCGGATCCAGGCGGGAAGAGGTTAATGTTGCTCTCAGTCTCGGTCTACTGAGGGGGTAGAAAGACGCGTTACCAAGTGACGGGAGCACTCCGCTTTCTCTGAATGAAACGCTCTGAGTGGGAATCCGGATCCCCTCCTCTCTCAGCTAAAGGTTCGCTCCAGGATCCGTCCGTCCGTCCGTCCGTCCGTCCGGCAGCGGGTCAGGCAGCAGAGGAGCTGAAACGGGGGGAAAGTGATGGAAAAGTTGCGCTGATCCTGCGTCCGACCCGCTGGATGAGAGACAAGAGACCGAGAGGGAGGGAAGACGGGAAAGTTTCCGAGCCCAGAGTGACAGATCCACAACTGGACTCAAATAATGTGACTGTGGACGGCAGAGTGCTCTACTTGGGTTTGGATTTATAAACTTCCACTGCGGATTTACAAGCTTGTTTTCTTCAGTTTCTGCGCAGAAGGAGAAGTGAATGACTTGAGATCGCGCGGCTGATCAGCGACGGGATGAATTCAAAGAAAGGATAAGAAACTAGTTGTTTGATTTTTATTTTGTATTTTGATTTTTTCACTGGGGCTGAACTTCGTGAACAGAACATGCGCTGAAAGTGCTTCTGTGTTTTCTAGGTTTTGTACGTTTTTATAAAAGAGAAACTAAAGCAGCCCCGTTTTGCATTTGGATTCAGAGACTCCTTGTCATGAAGGAGCGGACGCCTAACCTGCTTTATTGAATCATTCGGATTACATCGGAGCATTTCTAACAGGAGACGCGCTGAATGATGTCTCCAACTTCAATCGGATTTGTATTTTTTTTAGCTTTTCTCCATGTGAGCTCAGGTAAGTGAGCCATTTCTTTTCTGGTCATCAGTTTGAGTTTGCAAAGATGGAACAAAGTATTGCTTTGTTTTATTTTTCTCTCTCATAAATGAGGAGGGGAGGTTGGGGGGGTCTAATAATTTGTTAGGATTAGAGATGCACCGATCAAGAGATTGGAATCGGCTGATTTCTTTTTCTTGACCAGCATCGACTTCTTTGTTATATTTTTCTCCCTTTAAAAACGAGCAGAAAATGTAATAATCTGCTAGAATTAGACTATCCATTTGAGCGATTGGAATTGGTCAGGTTTTTGCATGGTCAGCTTTGATAGATAAGTTGCAAATCTATTGAAATGATGAAGGTTTTAAAATATTTTTGGTTTTATTTCCTTCCAAATCTTTAAAGTGCTGGGTGCACATTTTCCTTTTCCATGTGGTATGATCATTGTGGGGGGGGGGGGGGGGAACTGAATTGGTCAAATTAGATTTTATTTTTTATTTTTTTAAAGGGAAAACGTCACTACCATTCAGGAAAAGTCCAATCGGTGCATTCCTAACATAACATATTTTGTCCTTGCTGGTAATGTTGTCTCAGAACAAAAGTTACTCAAGACATGTATAAACCAGAACAAACTGGGACTTTTTTCATTGAAATATTAAATTTTCTTTCACCTTTAGCAAGTTTTTGTTATAATTTCTCTGGGAAAAAACCAGCAGATTTGTCTTTTGGCTGTAAGAGGGTCAACATGGTGGGCAAAAAGGATTGTCCAGCTTAAAGCTGAGCACACAGAAAGTCACACATAAAGTGCTGAGGCCATGTGGGATCAGTGAAGAGAGCAGCTATCATCGGTCATAAAGACAGCCTAAGCCCCGTTGGGAACCGTGTTTCCCTGTATGTCTTGATTCTTCCCCTGGTTGACGATTATTGCTGAGTGCATGTTTTTTTTTTTTTTTTTACTAAAAGTGCTGCAGCAGATTTTAGTTTCTGTTTTCCCATTTTATATAAAATTTCCTTTGATTCAGATTTGTCATTGAACTTCCTGAAGTGAGCTGCCAGCTGTCTTTTTCTCCCTGTGCTGCTTGTACTGTTTTCACACATTTCTCTGACTTAGCCGTCCCATGGCAATCTGTTTAGAGTCTCCAGTCAGAGCGAGCTTGGGCTTTTCCAGGTCAGTTGCTTTAGACTTGAGAAACGAACCATTCAAGTACACAAGGTGGTTTCTGCACAAATACGTGGCACAAAAGTAGCTAAATTAATGAAATGTGTTTGGTCTCGATCGATAAACCCAGCAAAACATTTTATTTCTCAGTATCACTGTTTTTGTCAGCCTGTTTGCCACTGGAGTTCTGGTGCTCTGCATTTCTGCTGCAAAACTTTGGCCAACCTATAATTACCCGAGTAGCAGTCAGTTTAATTATTTTCAGGTTGAAACCTGAAAGGCTTTTCTGTCACATTATACCAAAGTTTGTTGTTTGTTGAATGCGTCATTCAGTCTTAAATACCCACTTACCGCTATTCAGCGTCTTAAAAATAGAGAACAAGATGTTATATCCACACCTGTAAGACACACCGATCTGGCTTTGATTTAGTTTATTTTTTAAAGTCTGCCATTCGTGGTTTTGAACAATTCCTCTCCTTTTTTACTTTTTTTTTTTTTTTTTACCAAAAGATTTCTATAATAAATTTTGAAAGCTCTATTTCCAGTCTCTGGGTGATTGATGGGTGAACTTCCACACTTTGGTCAATTGGTTTTGTTTGCTTTTTGTGCGAAGGCAGAGAAGTTGTGTTGAGGAAAACTGGTGTAAAATCTAAACAGGAAACAGGGTCAAAGGTTATGGATTGAGGTTTATCTGCTCCACCTTCAGTTCCTCAGCCTGTCCTTTTGTGAGAGAAGTCTTTCATACGTCTGGGTTTCCAGTTGCAGCTAAATGTTGGGATATCTGAGGATTGTCTGTTTTTCTGGGGGATGGGGTGAGATATCAGTGCCTTGCTTTAGAGATCAGCTGGACAGCAGATCTCACCAGCTGATGAAATGTAGCATCTTAAAGCAATAGTTGCCATGTCTTCATAAAACATACAACTTCCTTTTTTTACAGTCGTCTTAAACTTTACATGCTTCCTCTGGCTTTCCCTTTAAACATCCCACCAATGCTAAACCGAGGCAGCTGAGTCGTCTTCTTGCTGGAACAACTTCCACACTGAAGAATGTTTGTTACGAGACAATCTAAAATTGTCATATTTTTGCTAGTAAATCCTTTTATAGGAGCTGACCGAGCAGAAAATCCAGCTGATTCCCCTCCGTTAAAAATTGGCCTGTAAGCACAAGGCCAGTTACAATCAGGGTGACTGTAAAGAGAAATGTTAATCAAATTAGTCCTTTCTACCAGTTATAGTAAAAGTGCTTTTTGTAAATCTTTGTAATTTTTAGTTGCATTCCAGCATTTTTTCCAGGTTGCAGAAATGCTGGCCTGGTCGTTGCTGTTCTAAGCGGTTTCACACGATTCTCATCTCTCTTCAGTTCTCTGTGTGGGATTTCTCCCATTGAAGTGGATTCCTCTGGTAGACTTTCATCCAGGCTAATCAGCGAACAGAAGGTGAAGTGGTTCTCGAGGAGGTTGATTTTCTGCTCTGTTATAGAAGTGTGGTCTGATTGTAGTTTTAGAATTGGCGGCACAGGAAGTGAGCAAAACCCTTCAGTCCGTGTTAGCCGCGTACCTGAATATTGTCATTGAATATCGACATTGACAGCCAATTAACTTCAACAAAAGTTTTGAATTTCCAGCCAGTTTGAGACATTTGTAGTTTTCAAACATTGTTTCCTGGCCACAGTAATGCAAACTTGCCGTTTTTAATTTGTGGAAAACAGTAAAATAAGGCTGCCTTCGCCCTATCACACTTGCAATAACTTGCTCTCGGCTTTGCTCTGTCCAACTGTTGTAAATTGATACCTTCATCTGTCAGCTCTCACCCTGTTATCTTAGACCTGTCCTCCTTGTACACTCTAAATGCCTGTTATCTCCGTGCTAAGTGCTCATCAGACCTCACACTCCTCACACTGATACCGTTCAGGCAGGACGGTAACCTGGATCATTCTCGAGAGATAATTATCAAGATGATGTATAAATATTAACCTGGATGGTAAAACCAGAAAGCAAATATTGGAAGTACCCGTGACAGTTTACTGTAAAGCTTTGATGACTCAATGCAGCACAACAAAGCATGTAAGGATGAGTTTGTCCTTAAGATGATGTAAATACACTTCAAAACACAATCTTACCAAGTACTTTTAGTAGGTTTCTAGTGCAAACATTTCAGTACATTGGAAACAGGCCAGAACTCAGTTAAAGGTAACTTTATATATACATGATATATATTCTGCATTTAATTTAATCATCTATGAATATACACTATTTTAGTGTTTCTGTATGTCCATATTTCATATAGCTATTAGCGACATATATATATTTTTTGTACATTTTATTGAAAATATTCAGTAATGTTTATACTGCTTCAATTCTTTAGCAACATTGTTCCACAAAGTCTCTCCACAGGTTAATATATGTTAAGGAATTTCAACGAGCTTGTTGAAAAGTTTCTTGTAAGTTATTTATTTGTCTTATTTCAAGCGTGCTCAGGCGCTTGCACTAGAAACTCCACCAGTCTTGCTCTGTAAGATGTTGTGTTTTTTTGCAGTGCGTAGGGCAGAGGGAGTGGCGCACCGGTAATCAGCCTTGGCAAAGACACGCAGGTCATGACAAATTGACTCATAAGTGCTGATAAATTGCAGGGCTCTTCAGCCTCTTACATCAGGGTGACATGACAGGACACAGCTGGCTCCACACGGCCAATTAATGACCAGAGCCCACAGGTGAGACGTGTCTCAGTCTCCGTCTCCACCTCTACCTCTCCCAGACTCCTGAACTCAACCCTGCTATGGCTCCTACTTATGGTGATGTTTTTTTGCTTTGGGGTTTATCCGAAGTCGTCACAACACATTCCATCTTCCGTAACAGAAACGTAATGAGGACAACTCTCGATTGTGTCATGCCAACTCCTTTCTTCTCCCACCTGTGATGTGACGGCTGTATCTCCGTAACTTTCACTAATGCACATTAATCAGATCCTAATCCGAATGAAACAGGGTTTTACACCCAGAGATCCGGGATTAGCCAGACTTCAGCTTAGTGAAACCGCATGGAGGAATGCAGGAGAGGTAATCAGTGTCCCTAGTTTATTTATTTATTTTTTTTAATTCTTTTTTCCCCCTCCTTCATGGGAACTGCAGCTAAGAGTTTAACGACTGACAAGATAAACATTTCAAGGCAGTTTGTTTGAGGGCAGAGAAATTAGCCAGTGATGCTTAATGATCTGCTTTCCTCTGACTACTCTTCCTCTAATGACCTAAAAGTGCCGCCTAATTGGATTAATTTGCAAATCCAACTGACGTCAATAGTTTGTAATTCACTCTGGCTGCCGCCTTGGCTCTTAGGCTTGCCAGGAGAAGAGGAGGAATACAATTATTCCGTAAAACTGAGGATTCCCTGGCAATTCAGCATCGATATTCTGTTTACAGTGTGAATAAATGGATGTTTGAGTCTGATATGATTTGGTATCATTTGTAACTTATTTATAGACTTTGTATTTTATTGGGATTTTATATCATACAGTATAATTCTTGAGAGGAAGAAAGTAATGTCTAGTGTTGACATTTTTATCCTGCTCAGTAGATTACAGCCACCTTGAGTTAATAATCTGTAAAACACACATTTTCTGCATTTACAGCTCATTCAAGTGGGATGCAGACAGATTTTTAAACAGCAATTTATAAATATGGTCAGATATTTTCGATTGGATTTAGGACTGGACTTTGGCTAGGCCACTGTAGTACTAGAATATCCATTTAAATTTAGTGTTTGGATTTGTTCATTTATTTAGTTTTTGTATTTAATTACATCCTTCTTTCCTTCATCTCTGCTCAGCTTTCTGGTCCTTGTTAAAGAAAAGCGTTCCCATAGCATGAT